CAGTGAGTGAGTGAGTGAGTGAGTTAGGCAGTAAAGCAAAGCGGCAAATCTGCAAAAGGTCATAAAATGTGTTTACTTGCCGGTCGTGTAAATTTTTACACGCCGAATCGCAGCAAACAAAAAACCGCACCGCCAATTGTTCGCCACAGCGACTGACATGCAACTCAGAGGAGTTAAAGTCAGAGTCAGAGACTTGGCCAAACGTTTAAGACCAAGTTAAAAAAAAAATATAAAAAAACTTAAAAGTTTGGAGCTGACTGCGAGGAGCATTCAACTGTCAACAGTTACTACCGAAACGACAAGAGCCGCCAAATGCCGCCAAATAACTCAGAGCTCTCAAATCCGCCATTTCGGCAACTACAAATCACTTTTACTGCCTGCTAACTTGGCCCAAAGTTGGGCTTCAGCTGCAGCTACAACTACGAAATGGCCAAAAGGCCCCCAAAAAAACAAATCACAGTTGCTGCGCCGCCGCCAACGAAAAAAAACCCCCGAAAATCGCTGTGGTAAAAAATTATATAAAGTATAAATAAAATTCTCTAAATATTTGCGCGTCGATTTTCCATTTAGCCGCCGCAGACAGGCATCGCCGAGCTGGGCAATTAAGGTGCAATAATTTCGGATCATTAGGTTAAATTTGTCACGACCCGCTGCACGATTTTAACCCCCTCTCGTAGCCCCTAACCCACCCGGTGGACCCCCTTGGCCCTAGCTCCAGCTCCTGTCCAAGAAGAGGAAAAAAATAAGAGACCCCAAGGCAGCAGGCTGTCCGACAGAATGTAAAAGCTTAAGTCTCTGGACAAGTCGGAGAGCTGTCCATTTGGTGGCTAGTCGATGTCCATGGATTGGCCCCTGGCAGCCATAATTTCGGAGCGACCGCTGCTGACTGTGGATTTTCATTTGGGCACTTGCAAAAATACTTAAGTCGATCCAGTTTGGTTGTTACTAATTTGCATATTTTATACATTGCTTATTTTTAAATCAAGAAAAATAATTGGCAAAAGCCCTCAAGGTGTTCGTATTCTTTGACTCGATATTTATCGATATTTTTGTGCGAATCAAAGTTTAAAATAACATTTACTAAGTCAAATTAGCTTTAAATTCAATTTGGAAAGCTGTCCTGTGTTAGTTTTTAAAAGGTTTATAAATCTGCTTACTAATTTTAACATTTACAAAGATTGAAAATTTTATCAATTTTTGAAAATTTTAACGATGTAACCCTTATAAAATTTTGAAAAAATTTTAAAAATATACTTTTCTTTTAGACATGCCTAGATGGATTCGGCTGTTGATGCTGATCAAGAATATATATGATTTATGAGTGAAATTAGAATACCCCGCAGGGGTATACATTAAATTGGATGGAAACTTTATATAAAATAAATATTTTAATTAACTTATATTAACACTAAAATTTTAAAAAACTTGTAAAAAAATTTAGATACTTTTATAAACACTTTGTGATAATAGTCAAACATTTCTGAGACAAAATATCTATCTAAAATATCATTCTTAATATTCCCAACTTAAATTTTAATTATTTTTTACTCATATCAATAATTCCCTCTGTTATATATTTATTTCTTTTAGTTTTAGTTCATATTAAGACCTATTTCCCCTTCTTTTCTTCAGTGCATAATTTCGCTTATGCACTAGGTGGCGCTTTTTACAAATTATGACACAATTTGCTGGCCAAATTTGGTAAGCGGTTGACATTTGGCCATGTTTCTTGTCGATTGTCATCGTCATCGGCTATCGGCCATCGGCAAAACCGACTGAACGAACGAAAGGCTGATCGGTTGGTTGGCAAACTGAGCGCTATCAACATGGCATGTTGACAACGCACGCCGGCAACATGCAACGTGCAACGTGCAACGCGCTAAGTCTAATATGCAATATGCAACATGTTGCCTTGCGTCGCGAAAGTGACGCGTGGGCGAGATCCCACAGACTTTGACTGCCATTTTCATGTAATCCCAGCTATTAGCAGCTCCGAGGGAGCTGGAAGCAGGGAGCAGAGAGGAGACTTTGCGGCGAGTGCATCCAAAAGTTGCATTCCACAAATCGATTTCGCTGCACACACGCACTGACCGCAATTTTGTGGCTTTGCTCAATGAATCATCGCAGGCTAGAGGTGGGTATTTTTCGATATATATTTTGTATCGATAGGAAATGTTATAATAGGGAAATGCAGAAAGAGTTCAGAAATGTTTTAAAATCATTTAGAACTCGAATTATGGAAAAAGAAAGGATCCTTAGTCATTATTTTTAAAATATACAACATAATATTCATAAACTCACAGTTTAAAAATGAATTCCCATATAAATAATACAATTTCAAGCCCTTTAAAATGCTCTCAGAAATGAGAATATTCCCCAGATTTCAGTAAATCAAATCCCCAACTAAAAAGTCCTGTAAATTACTTCTCCTGACCCATCTCTAGCAATTATTCGCATTTACCAGAGCCCCACCCTTCATCCTTCCTCTTCGCCTTTTTGGAAAACGGACAACCCCCGGGGCCAATGTGTGTGGCATTTCTGTCACTTGACGCTGAATTATTTTCACGCCTTTTTACAAATGTTTGGCTTGAAAAGCACAGCCATGGCGGGGGCGACAAACTGCAGTGTGTTCCACTTATGGCCAACTCTCGGACCCAATCCCATAGAAACATGGCCAAGACAGTGTCAGACCGAAACCAAGTCGGACTTGGACTCGGACTCAAACTCGGACTCGGTCAGCATGGAGATTTGCTCATAAATCTGACAAACTCAGCGCTAATATTTGCGGACTTCGTTAGACACACTCGAATGCATTTGATATGCCTTAAACGGGGCCTGAGAGATCTCCGTAGGAATATATGTAGGAATCGGAGTTCCAGATGCAAGCAGGAGTGGGAGTTTGGTGGCTCTGGTCTCCAGGTCTTTTGCCTCTGCCAAATGACAAGTGTAAAAGCTGACAAGGCGGTGTGGTTACACAGAAAAATGAAATGAAATGCAGACAACATTTTTATCTGATTAAAGCAACGACGACCACTGACCAACTGGCAGAGTAACCCAGCTACAAAAAGGAAAAGTGATTTCGCATTGGGTGTACAGAGAGGGAAAATAGGGGATTTATTTAGTACATTACCTAAAACCAGTTTTAAAATATATCAAATCAAGAAAAAGAAGAAGAAACCCATATAAATATTTAACAAGTGCACTTGTTTTTCTAGCAGAATATTTTCAGAAAGAAGTAAATATCATTAAACGGAAAATAAAGTGCATTTTAATCAATCGAAACCAGATACCGATTTGTTATCATATTTATTAAATTAAATGCACAATTTAATGCTTTTTTATGTGCTCTAAAAGATCAGAGACTCTTGTGACTTACCGCTTTAATTTTCCCACAGTTGCTTGCTTTTTTTATGAGACTAATTTAATGGAAATTGCTTTTAACAATTCTACTCTTTAAGTATTTAACTTTTAATATGTTTTTTCTTAACTGTGAATTGCTAAGAATTGCTTAGATTAATTTAAAAAAACACCCCACACACACGCTGCTTCCATTAGCTAAAATTATGACATTCATTGGTAACATCATCAATCTAAAGCTCACTCCGGCTGCTCTGACCTTTTCCACTCACTGAGTCAGTCAGTCAGTAACTCATGGAAAGGTACTAGTACAAGCGACTAATTCAATTTTTATTTATCACGGCAACTAATTAATTTCCCGCTGAGCTTTGACCACTGCAAAATGAATTTTCTCGCTGGACATTTTAATTATTTAAATGCAGGCCGAAGGCTGCCGTCCCAGGCGCAGGCGCGCAGGCAGGCACTCAAATCGCGAATCATAGCTCATAAATCCATCAAAACGGCAATTGCAGTGGCAGTATTGTGGTCGGGCAAGGAGGCCAAAGCCGAAAGCCGGCCAAGTGCCATGCAAATGTTGTTCAACATTAAAAGCTACAAGAACAATCAGAGAGACATGAGCAGCAGCATATTGCTGTTCTTGTGAAAAAGAACAATTGTTTTAGTAGCAATTGTTGCAGCTCGGACTTTGGCTTTGGTCTCAGCCAGCTGCTGCTCACGATTCGATTTCGCATTGAAATGTTACTTTTAGTTTTTCCCCCTTTTTGCACAAAGTGAACCGATAGCGACTGCCCTCCGTATGCCGTGACCGTGAATTGTTTAGAATAATTTGCAATTGCCATAATATTTATTATGATTTATTAAACGCATTCTCTAGCCCCGGCTACGGGTTTGATTGTCTACTGTATTGTGGAAGGCAAGGGTCCTCGACTCGACTCGACTCTGTCTGCTTATGTTGCTTGGCAGGCAGTTGTTCGAACCGCAATTAAATTGTTTACTTTGGCTGGCAATTTATTAAAAATGCATTAAATAAATAAATCGCTTGCCATTCAAGATTTCATAAATTTTAGAATTGCCAATCGAAAGACTTAGGCAACGAACTCGCCCAAATGGAAATGTCATCGAAGCAATTTGTCCCCGGGAAAATTAACAGCATAACGTTTGAATTTATTATTTTATAACAACATTGTTGCAAAGTTAATATAGAAAATAAATCTTTAAGGTGTTGAGCTACTTTTTCCAAGCAATCTAGGCACAAATTCTTAAGTACTCTTATGGTAAGAGGAGTGACCACCCATCGTCCCCTCTCTCCACTTTAACAACCAACTAAACGTCCGCGAAAATGACTAATTGCCCCACCGTCAGCAAGGGGAAAATCGCACACGCGATGCTTGGGCTGTCTTGGAAAAGCCATAGAAACGACAGTTTTGTTTGGCGGGATCAGCCCGGGGGCCACTAATTAAAAAAGTGCCATCAAAGTGTGGCCACCTTGCCAAGTCTCAAGACACACTGTTGCGTGTCAGCTGACGGGATAAAGCCGCTGATTTTATGGCCTAACTTTTTTGCTAAGCTCAAAGTCAGTGCTGAACGCTTAGCTTCTTTTCTTAAAAAGAAACCTAGAAAGGCTAGGAATTAAGTGTAAAAATATTAACAAATAGAAACCCATCTCGTAGTCAAAACTTAAAGCTAAAATATACAAAATATGAGTACAAAAATCGTACTTTCCGACAGCCTGTCGCCGCAGGTCATCCGTCAGGTGATGAAGGAGCTGCAGGATATGGTGACTGAACCACCGGAGGGCATCAAGGTCCTAATCAACGAACGCGATGTCCTGGATATACAGGCTCTGATCGAAGGACCCATTGGCACTCCTTATGCCGCTGGAATTTTCCGCGTTAAATTGATTCTCAAGAATGATTTTCCAATTACTCCTCCCAAGGCGAACTTCCTTACCAAAATCTTTCACCCGAATGTCTCTGCCAATGGGGAAATCTGTGTGAATACATTGAAAAAGGATTGGCGGCCAGATCTGGGCCTTAAGCATATTTTGATAACCATTAAATGTTTATTGATTGCACCAAATCCAGAGTCAGCTCTAAATGCTGAAGCTGGTCAAATGCTTTTGGAGGAATATGAAAACTACTTTCAGAGGGCACGCTTGATGACAGAGATTCATGCCAAGTCTGGAGTTGAAGGTGATGGCAAGCCAGGAGAATCACAGGACAACAAGATGAAGGACAAGATCAAGGAGAAGTTGCATAAGGAAAAGAAGCGTGTCCTAAAGAGACTTTGAGTAAGGAATTTAAATAATTGAAGCGGGAGCAGGAGCAGGTTGAAGAGCAGGACTTGTAGAAATACAAAAAGGCTTAATGAATTAAGTTGAAAAGTTAAGGACATGACACCACTGACAAGAACTCTTAAAAAAATACCAAGAAACCCATATGTAAAATTTTAATTTTAATAATATTTTATGTTTAGAAGAGTGAGCATTCCAAAAAGCATACTCGAAATGATGTATTTATTAAGGCTAACCAACTTGTACTTCTTCCCCCAATTTATCCCCATATTATGCTATATTTCAAGGCATCTCTGACCATTTGGAGTAAAAGTATCGGTGGCCCACTGGGTGGCATTTTCAACATTTTGCGAGTGAACAGCAGCCGCAATATAAACAAACACATGTCGGACGCTAGAGACTTGGGACCAAACCGCACTCTCGTACCATATATATATATATTCATGCATACATATATCCCGATATATGCAAAACCATATTCCCATGAACATGGTAACCACTTGCTACAAATTGTCGAACAAGAGCAGCAGCTCTGCGAAAATGGGGGGAAAAAATACAAAAAATGGCAGCGCTTTAAACGGATGCAGATAACGATCGTCGAACACAAATGGTGCAGAAATAAACACGAGTGTAGATGCAAATGATTTGATAAGGGAGCGGAGGTGAAGGAAGGGGTGGGTTCCCCCTTCTTAGCAACTACTGTGCTGCCTGCTTAACCCATGGCTGCCCCATATGTCCATCACGAGTGCAGCATAAATTGGCACTATGCAAATTAAATTATCAACTGGAGTCCAGCGAGTAAACGAGTTTTCCACTTGGGCAAATTACTGTCAGCGACAAGTCGCCTCAACTAAAATGCAATGAATGCGTTTCGCCCCCCTTACCCTCCTAATCGAACGGGGATTCCCCCCTCTTAGCCAATTATGTGTAAGACTGGCAGCAAACCTAACCAGCTGGTTAAGCACATAAACGATACCCGCCGCATGCCGCATCATTATAATCACGTGTTGATTGCTTTTTAAACTCTGCCGAACTGGTCTCCTTTAGCGTAGTTTTTTTTCCTCTTTTCTTGACCAATTTTGCAGCCTGTCTTGCGTTCGTTCTGGCCTTTAATTTCCATTTACCAAAGAGGCGCCAGCCTCAGCAAAAAACAAGAGCATTTTGCATTATCGCCGCAGACGGGGAGCTTGTTAACCAAATGCCGATAATTAGATGGAGACTTCTCCACGTCCTGGTCCATGTGTCCATGTGTCCATGGTCCTGGAGTCTGGGGGAAAGACTGGTTCACACATGGGATAATGGGTCACTCATGGCAGCGGAAGAGGAGGTATTAAAAGGCATTGCAGAGGGGACGACAGGAAGCCACAGTTTGACATACAAAACGAAAGGGGATAATCGCCGGTTACACTGCCATTTAAAACTATAAATAAAGTGAGACATTTAAAACAATTACGGGTGGGAAATTGATTTGAAATAATAATCAGGTGGAGTTCTGTGAAATTTTTTCAAGGTTCTTTACGAGTTTTCTATTAAAAAACTTGTAGAAATCTATTCAGAAGTTAGATGAAAATATATTTTTTCGATATTACCTTAGTATACTTTTTTCCTGCAGTGCCTCTCTGCATATTTAATAAACCTATCCCTTGCCCCGACTTAACTGTGGCCAATTGCCAAAAAAATATATATATAAAATGTCTTAATCCCAAGACAAATGACGAGCCCCAGGTTTGGGGCAATCTAAAAACAGAAACCGCCCCAAGTTGCCCTTCGCCTAACCAATTTTCCACATCGGCGACGTTGCCAACCCACGCTTTTTGGCCAGTGAAATTGTTTCACGAATGGAAAGGAAGCCTCGTCCACATATCAGCCGCGAACTGAGCATATAGAAATTATAATGAAGACATCAACAACACACAAGACACAACCACTGAGTAAATCGCCAGCCAGCCCACTTTGATTTTTATGGCCAACTTAAGGGGAAAAAACACAACAAAACACACTTAAACACACACAGCCACAATAAGAAGGGGGTTTTCTTCATTTTTGTGGCGACCTCTCACTGGGAGGAGAGCAGTGGAGGCATCCAAAGCATCCAAAGACCGAGACTCTGGAGTAGTAGGTGGTGCCCAAAACAAATTGCAGGCAATCGGAGAGCCGTAAGTATGCTAAATTATCAGGCGTCGTCTTTTTTGCGAGAATACCCTTCGGAGGGGAATGGAGAGTTCCTTAAAAGTCAATAAAAGATGTTTTGGGAGGGTATGGAAACTTGAGTTGAATGTTTGTAGGATAAGCTAATAGATTTAGAAGGAATTTATAGCTATAAATTAATTTTCAATATTTTACTTTAACCTTTTAATGGAATTTTAAACTAATACCTTTTTCTTTCTCACTCTTTAATATTCTAAGTATTTGCTTTATACCTTAGTACATTCTTCACATTCTTTATTACTTAATGTACGATCAAAATAATTCTTTTGAATACTTTTATACCTCTTTATATTTTAAGTAATCCCTGTCAGAGTATCCCCCTGTTCGTTACTTCCCTCCATTGTTTGTTTTAACATCAATATTTTTCGGAGTTTTTCCGGGACTTTTCAATAATGGACTTTGAATGCTGGCGGCCGTATAAACAAACAAACCGCAGATGCAAAAAAAAAAAAAACACCAGCATTGGTGTATTATTATGAGAAGTATTAACATTATTATTGGACGCTGGACAATTTTGGGGCAATAAAAGACACAAATTGCTGCTAATAATGATGCTGAATATGCACCATCCCCCTCTCTGGACTCTTAACCCACTCTTATCCTCAGTCTTTTTCTCGGCAGCAAGTTCGTTGCCTAAGTCTTTTGTTTTGTCTACGCGCGTAAGTGTATGGTGTGTGTGTGTCTTTGTTATTATTTTACATATTTTATTTAATGCTACGATAGTTTCATGCTTGTCATGTTCTGTAGCCAAGAAATTGAACTTTTTTTGTTGGTTTACCCATTTTTTTCCTCCCATGTTTTCCATGCACTTTTTTGGCCGCTGTGAAACATTTGTCATTTTTACCATTTTTAGCCAAGCGTGACAAGCGTTTCTTGCTAGTTTCACCCACTGGCGGCATGCAAATGTGCAACAAGACACCACCAACAATGGGGCACAGTGTGTATGGATTGCTTTTCGATACGCGATAAAGATCTCAAATATTGCTAAAACAAACAAGAAATTTATTGAATATGCAATGTTTATTTTTTTGTTGTATTTCCTCGTATTCTCCTCGCTGTTTTGCATTTGTCTCTGGCCAGGTGAACACACCAAACAGCACGGCAGTTTATTGTTTTATTTATTGTAGGTGAGAAGTCAAATATTTGTGGGTGGCAAGTCGCTGAAGTCACAGAAGCAAATGGCACATCTTGGCCTGCGGTCTTTTCAGCCTTATTTTTATGTCAGGCGGGATATATGTTATGCTCGCTCTCTAACCGGCCATATAAGTCTTAGGCTGCGACTGGGACCCGGGGTTAATTCCAACATTAAAAGGCAAGACAAGCCTCACATTTATATTGGGCGGAAAGTGATGCAATCTCTGATCTGAGATGAGAATGTTCAGATGCTCAGAGAGTCCCCCCCCCAAAGGGGGCCTTGCACCGATGATATATAGTGCTGCGGGGCGGAAGTATTGTCGTTATATATAGTCACAGATTACAGATAACAGATCGGAGAGTAACTGTTTTTGGTTGGAAAATGTTATAAGCTAGGAGAAGCATATAGACTTTTGTAGATTTAGGTGAAGTCGAATTGAGGATGATATTAGCAGAGAAACTGATTGAAATATTTATAAATAAACCTTTTATAAACCTTTCTTCTATAGTTTCTCCTAACAAGTCCTTTTAATACCTGACTCTATGTTAAATTACATACTTCTTGTCTTGTTTTTTTTTTTTTGCCGCCTTTGTTTACTTGATAGTCACAGATTAACCAACGATTTGAATCCCCGCACACATTGATCGCACAACCCACGCGTTTATATCCTCTCCTCTTCTCGATTTCCGGCCTCATCTCATGATCTTCTGGCACTTGTCTCCATATAATTTGCTGCACTTATTTAGCAGCCCACGCAGCATCCAAATCAAAAGTAAAAAAGTTGGAGAAAAAAATAAAAACACAATATACAAAGAAACGCAGACAAATTAGCCGGGGCCAGACTTTCGGCCAAAGTCGCCTTTCACACATATATATATATATAAATTTTTGTTTTTCGGGGCTCTGGAAACTTGCAACTAGCAACACAGCGAGCAATGTGCAACTTGCAACTTGCAACAGGCAACAAAAAAGGGGACCCCAGAGGCGAGGTCAAGACATAGGAGCATGGGAGCGGGACAGATGAGATTGCACAACTGGCGAAACCCGATTTGCATATGGCGATTTAGATTTAGTTTTGGTCTCAGTTTTCTTGGGTTTTTCCTTTTTACCGTTGTCGCCAAATCCACCTGTTGACTTGGAGTCACAAAAAAACAAAGCGAAATACTTTGCATATCTCGAAGTGGGCCTAATCAATGAAGATTTTTGTGTAAAAACTACAGAACTTGAGAGCTTCGAAGGCACTAAGTCCCTGTCTCTCTCTCGCTGTGTTCTGGCCAAGTCTGGTGGGCGTAGACCAAAAAATATTTATAAAGAAGAAAAAAAGTCAAGAGAGAATAAAAAACAACTAAGCTAAGGAAGAGCTTAACAAAAAGCCAAGCGACGACGTGAGGCTCACCATTGTCTGGTGAAGATAATCTGTGATTCGGAAACTCCCACAGGTCAGGCGAGCACATCAATTACTTTGGCACAAGTCCAAGACAAGTCTGCACTGGGGGAAAAACTATAGTATAATATAAAGGTTTTCAAGCATAAAGATGTGGTATAAAGGTTCTTAAAATTATAAAGATAATATCAAAGAAATCAAATAAATATTTCTTACTTAAAATAAATATGTTCCAGACTTCTAAGCAGACTGCTGATGATCCCTAAATTTCGGATCCTTGTTCACATTTCCATACTCGTTCTCTTATTAAAATTCCCTATAATTCCTCCCGAAATTAATTCGCAGTGCATCTGATTCTTTGGCGGCCGCAAGGAACAACCAAGTCAAAGATCTCTTGCATCTTGGCATCGAATCGGGAATCAGGGAATCAGGGAATCAGGGAA